CAGATTCTCGGCTGAGGGAATGTGTTTATCTGCTGACTCTGATGTCATGTATCAGCAGGACTCAGGCAGAGCGAAAGATTTATTTCATGGTTTATTTTACATAAATGTGGAAACCTGGAAGCAGCGCCGCTCCAGATGTTAGTCGAGTCATGAAGTCGTCAGAAGAATTTCTGAGGGATTTTAAAATAAGACGTAAAAAATCAAATGATTTGTGTGTGTGTGTGTGTGTGTGTGTGCGCGCGTGTGTGTGTGTGTGCAGGCCCAGTGTGCGCCGCTGCGTCCAGGTGAGGCGACCTGTGTGTGCGCTGAAGGCTGGACCGGCGACGGCAAAGTTTGCATTGAGATCAACAACTGCGCGGCGGCGACTCGAGGAGGCTGCAGCGCCAACGCCGACTGCAACCACATCGGGCCCGGACAGGTCGGACCCAGCAGTGCTTTAATTCAGCACCAGAACCTTTATCTGACCTGAGTCTGTTCAGGCAGAACTCAGGACACATGATCCATCTGAGGTTCTGCTGACGTTACTGATGTGTTATTTGGACCCAAAACTAAGTAGAACATTTTGGCTGTGAAGTCAGTTTAAGGTTCAGGATCTCCAGGAATCAAAGTCCAACATGAACTGTGGAGACTCAGACAGAACAGTTCTGGATGGATCTAGTAGGACACAGTTTCATTACTGATCCAGAGAGTTCCTGTCAGTGTCTGTCTATGGATGGATCCATGGTTCTACGAGAACCCAGTCTCTGGTCACATTTCACCACCTGTTGAGGCTCTAATATCAGCAGAACCTGATGTGGTGAAGTTGGACCAGACAAGGTTCTGGTTTTTACATGTTTAGACCAGATGTTGACGTGCACTAGTGGGTTGGGTCGATGTTCTGTCCTATGAATGAGTCCTCATCAGTGTGTTCATGTGGACCAACAAGACACAAAACCAAAGAGAGGCGACAAAGAACCGCCTCAAAGAGACATGAAACCACAAGAGACACACAGAATGACCCAAACACGACACAGACACACAACATCACAAGTAGAACCAACACGTAGAACCAACACGTAGAACCAACACCTAGAACCGGCATCTAGAATCACCACGTGGAACCATGCTTGTTCAAATAATTGTTCAGGAAAAGTGTCTTTGAGGTCCTGAATGTTCAGATGTTAATAAGTTTCATCTTCAGCGACTCACAGCTCATGTTTGTCTGTTTCTGTTTTGTTTCTGTTTTTGTTTGTTTGTCTGCAGAGTGAGTGTGTTTGTAAAACTGGTTACATGGGAAACGGGATTGTGTGCGACCTCGTCAACCCCTGTCTGAAAAACAATGGAGGCTGTCATGGACTGGTAACACAACAGCAACAACAACAACACAACAACAAAACAAAGACAACAACAACAACACAACAAAGACAACAACACAACAAAGACAACAACAACAACACAACAAAGACAACAACACAACAAAGACAACAACAACAACACAACAACAAAACAAAGACAACAACAACAACACAACAAAGACAACAACACAACAACAACACAATGGCAACAACAACAACACAATGACAACAACAACACGACAACACAACGACGACAACACAACAACAATGACAACACAACAAAGACAGCAACAACACTATGGCAACACCAACACAATGACAACACAACAAAGACAACAATGACAACACAACAACGACAACACAACAAAGACAACAACAACAACACAATGACAACATAACAACACAACAAAGACAACAACAACAACAACACACAGACACAGACACAGACACAGACATAAAGACACACATCAGCTGCTTCTCCTTCTTCTCTAATCACTTGTTTCTGATCAATAAATCGATTGACGCTCAGTCAGCTGTGAATAAATCTGGCAGCAAGAAAAACAGACGATGTCTGAAATAGCAGCAGGAGTCAGTGAAGCATTGTGTAGCTGATTTAAATACAGCACAGCAGTGAAACAGAGGACCGTTTCCTGTGTGGACCATATCTCCAGCTGTGGCCTGGTTTTGATGTGAACACGTCTGTGATTTGATGGGATCTTACCTGTAAGCTAGCAGAACAGGGAACACCTGTAGAAAAGCCTTCTGACTGACTTGAACACTGGCACTAAACAGTTCCTGATGTTTCAGTGTTGAAGAGTTTTTCTGTTTCAGGCCAAGTGTGAGCTGAAGGAGGGTGGAGCTCACACCTGTACCTGTCCAGACGGATACGCAGGAGACGGAAACATCTGCTACGGAAGCTTACTGGAGGTACAAGCTCACCTGGGTTTACCTGTAGGACCTGCATCAGGTCGACAAATCCGTCAACACTCT